CAAGGTTCCATACCTCAAAAGGAAGGTTGGGATTGATTTTGGGGGTTATGGCTCAAACAGTTTAAGAATAAGGGGCCAAAAAACTAGTATTTTCTGGTTTCTGGACAATAACTTGATTATAAGTCTATGGATCTCTATGAAATTGTACCACAAGGTTCCATACCAAAAGAGGAAGGTTGGGATTGATTTTGGACCGTTTAAGTAAAGGGGCATGAAACAATACTTTTCTATACTTTGTATAAATTGCTTATTTCTTGACTAATTTCAATGGGTTTAAGTCTTGAATTCTTGAAGTTCTTTAATACATAAATTAAAATTTTGGGACTGTTTTCAAATTGGTCTACGTTAAGGTCCAAAGGTTCCAAAATTTAACTCTTGTTTGATTTCAACAAAAATTGAATATATGGGATTCTTTGTTCCTTGTTATGCTGAATCTAACCATGTATTTAGATTTTAGATTTTGGGCCACGGTTTTCAAATTGGTCCACATTTAGGTCCAAAGGGTCCAAAATTAAACTTAGTTTGATTTTAACAAAAATTGAAGTCTTGGGGTTCTTTGATATGCTGAATCTAAACGTATTTAGATTTTTGATTTTGGGCCCTGTTTTCAAACTGGTCCAAATCGGGGTCAAACATTAAACTGTGTTTGATTTCTTGAAAAATTAAATATATCGTGTTCTTTGATATGCTGAATCTAACCATGTATTTAGATTTTGGATTTTGGTCCTGTTATCAAAGTGATCCACATTACGATCCTAAGGGTCCAAAATTAAACTTTGTTTGAATTCTTTAAAACTTGAAAAAAGATTTTGGATATTAAACTATAATAGGTAAATGTCAAATTTCAAATTTTAAAGTTCTTAAAACACGTTCATTCTGTGTCAGAAACCTATGCTATGTCAAACATTTAATCACAATCCAAATTCAGAGCTGTATTGCACAATTGATAGAAATTGTAAGTAGATTCATAGTTAAAAATAGATGAAGCATCAAATTTTAATTTAAGAGAAGAAATTATGTATAAATATAGTTTGGTAATTTACTGTTCAGTATTAGATATTTTGAAAAATAAAGGTAAGTTTTATAGATTTTTTAAAGACATTGTATTAATGATGGATTCTATTTTTGGTTATTCTGTATAAATTCATTTGCAGAATGCTATATATAATTTTTTTTTTTATGAAGCAAACCCCTTTAAAAATTTTGCTAATTTTGTCCATCAATAAATTAATCAATTAAATTCACTATGTACTTGGATATGCTGAATCTAACCATGTATTTAGATTTTGGATATTGGACCATAATAGGTAAAAGTCCAATTTCAAATTTTTCAGTTCTTTGACCACATTCATTCTGTGTGAGAAACCTATGCTGTGTCAAATATTTAATCAAAATCTAAATTCAGAGCTGTATCAAGCTTGAATATAGTGTACATACTTGCCCCAACTGTTCAGGGTCCAACCTCTGTGGTCGTATCACGCTGCGCCTGGCAGAGCATTTTATTTTGTTCATCTTCTGTAATACATGTAATGTAAATGGCATATTAATCTTCAATTTGAATGCTCAGATTTTAAAAGTATTGTTCAACAGCTTCACTTTTCAATTTGTTTTTGTCTTGTCAAAGTAAGTAAGAACAGGTTTTGTCTATTGTTATGCACTGTACCTGTGCATTCATTTCACGTGAAACAATAATGAAGTGTTCATTGTACAGTAAAAAGTAAAATAGCAAAAATACCGAACTCCAAGGAAAATTCAAACGGAAAGTCCTTTATCAAATGGCAAAATCAAAAGCTCAAACACATCAAACGAATGAAAAACAACTGTCATATTCCTAAAAACTCCTTTGAGCTCTTTAAAACCAGTTAAAGTAGTGGGTAACATGATAATATTTGCTTAAGGAATTTAAGTAATCTGTTTGCTTATGTCTTTCCAAAAACAATGCTCTTTCATAATGCAAAGAGAATATGGGACGGAAGTCCTACATGATGTCAAGCATAACAGGCAACAAAGCACCACGAGATAAAAGATAGACATGGAATCTATCTGCACTTAATTTGCGTTGACTTTTTGACTAGACCTGCTATTTAATTACTAACATTAAATTATTAGTCTTAATTCATCATTCTTAATAACTTGTTATATAAATAGACTGTGACACCTGTTTATTGTTGTAGACTTTATGCTGCCCTCTAGTTGTCTTTTGGTTATTTTTGTCATTTGGTAGCTGTAACATTGACATAAATACCACATCTCTTTTAATTTCAAGTTTAAAACATATGAAATGACAGCATATACTCGTATAGGAGAATATGCAGCAAAAGAAAAGGAAAATCTGGATGTGCAAAAGGGAAAAAAAAGAAAAAAAAGAACTGCACTTTTATTGTTGTTTAATATTCATCTCATACAAACAGTTGAGCCTTTGTAAACATGTTGGGACTCCAGAAGTAAGAAAAAAAATTGGGGATTAAAGAATGGAATTATATTCTCATTAACCTATTAAACAATTACTGAGACAATACGTATTTAGTATAAAACAAAGATAGTTCAATGTTCATTGCAGGTGGTAACACTAGAAAATATTTTCTTATGATCTCTGAGGGTGTGCAGCATTTGGATTTAATATTCTTTTTTATAAAGTTAATTGTGTTTTATTGACCATTGCAACAGCAGAAGTAGGTAAAATATCATAAAATATATTATGTGCCAAAGAAAAAGATTTGTGAGTGCATTTTATGGATACTTAAGTGAGATACTTGCTTCCATTAATTTACGAGATAATTGTACAGTTCAGGAGCCTCCCATTTTGAGAACCTGAATGCAAGTAAAACTATCTTTTTCAGTTTTTGTCGAGCCTGGGACTTTTGTCGCAGAAAGCTCGACATAGGGATAGTGATCCTACGACGGCGGCGGCGTTAGCTAACTTCTTAAAAGGTTTATATTTTAGAAGGTAGAATATCTGGATGCTTCATACTTTGTATATGGATGCCTCATGTTACGAAGTTTCCGTCAGTCACATGTCCAATGTCCTTGACCTCATTTTCATGGTTCAGTGACAACTTGAAAAAAAAGTTAAGATTTTTTGTAATGTTAAATTCTCTCTTATTATAAGTGATAGGATAACTATATTTGGTATGTGCGTACCTTGCAAGGTCCTCATGCCCGTCAGACAGTTTTCACTTGAACTCGACCTCATTTCATGGATCAATGAACAAGGTTAAGTTTTGGTGGTCAAGTCCATATCTCAGATACTATAAGCAATAGGTCTAGTATATTCGGTGTATGGAAGGACTGTAAGGTGTACATGTCAAACTGGCAGGTGTCTTCTGACCTTGACCTCAGGTTCATGGTTCAGTGGTTATAGTTAAGTTTTTGTGTTTTGGTCTGTTTTTCTTATACTGTATGCAATAGGTCTACTATATTTGATGTATGGAATGATTGTAAGGTGTACATGTCTGGCTGGCAGGTGTCATCTGACCTTGACCTCATTTTCATGGTCCAGTGGTCAAAGTTAAGTTTTTGAGTTTTGGTCTTTTTTTCTAATACTATATGCAATAGTTCAACTATATTTGGTGTATGGAAATATTTTATGATCTATATGTCAGTCACGCAGGTTTTATTTGACCTTGACCTCATTTTCAAGGTTCATTGCTCAGTGTTAAGTTTTTGTGTTTTGGTCTGTTTTTCTTAAACTATAAGCAATAGGTCAACTATATTTGTTGTATGGAAGAATTGTTAGCTGTACATGCCTGCCTAGCATGGTTCATCTGACCTTGACATCATTTTCATGGTTCATTGGTCAATGTTCAGTTAACTTGGTTAATGTTAAGTTTATGTGACAGTTGTAATAAAGCTTTATATTTAGGACTATCAACATAATATCAATGATAAGTAAAGAAGGCGAGACATTTCAGCGTGTGCATTCTTGTTCTTGTTGTTTGGTGTTTCATGAACGAATGTGACTTTGTCTGAAATCTTTGTTTATTTATCCATAATATTGGTGGCTATGGTTCAAGCATTTCAAACTTTATTTTCTTAGGACAAAAACAATTATTTGTTAATCTGAGCATAGAACTAATACTTTATATCATGGTCTGTAAAAGTAATCGCATAAAAAGAAAAAGAAAGGTAAATGTTTTTCGGGCAATGTGTGAAAAATTGTGTTGTTGTATGTCAGTAAAAAACACATGTTTTCCCTAAATTGTAAACACATAGTAGTCCATCATGCATTGCAACTCATTGACATGATTAGTCAATGTAAACAAACAATTATATTGGAGGCAACATTTGTATGCTAAATTAAGCATACCGGTATAAGGTAGTGTACCCAACCTAATCAATATTATAAAAAATACATGAGAGTGTCATGTATAACATACAAAATGATTTGAATTGATTTGAGGTGATTGTTTGAAAGTAACTGACTTGTCTCAAGTGAACCAAAAAAGGTGACAATGACGTCTTTGTTGCTTTTTAAAATGGGGTCAAACCAGGGTCAGCTTTCTGACTTAATGATAAATAGATAAAAAATTTATACAGCAAATTCTGATAAGTAAATTAAAGTTAGATCAACAAATATGTTTGCATAACTGAAATTGTCAGTTGATTCCTTATAGGAGTTATTTTTCTGAACTGATGATTTTAACCCTTTCTGTGTTTTGGGCTATTACACATGTTATTAGTCCTATAATTTCATTCCCTTGGCGTTATACAACAATAAGAGTTGTCAATGTCAATGACATTACATAAAATGAAGAGAGAAGGTATAAGAAGATACAATTCCATGCATTTTTTTCTTTATTTACATTAAAAGTCCCTGTAATAAAAAGTATAACCCATCAGAAAATTAAAATATCGAAAAGCATTGAGCTTTGATGAACAATAGTTTAAATAAAAATATGAAAATTTATTGACAGGAAAGACCTTAAAAAAGAACTCTTCTTTGAACAATTACAGATAAAAAGGAAAAAGAATAGTCTTATTTTTTTTCTTCTTTATTTCAGCTCAGCAAATAAATGTTATTTGAAAGTTGCACACTTTTCTGCACAGTTAGAAAATTATGAGAAGGCCATCGAGCTGTATGAACAGGTAACTCATATAAGTATGATTATTTTTTATGTTTGAACGTTATATATATGTTTAATATATTTGTCAGTGAGACAACTGTGTTGTACCTACTTTGATTAAGGCCATTTCCTGAATGTGTGGATAGGTTAAGATTAGGAGAATTCCAAAGCATCTCATTTACAAAATGCTGAAAACACTACATGCATAATGAATCTCACATTTATGTCGCGAAAGGGAGACATAGCATTCCTATATTCCGCCGGCGTCGTCATTATTTAGGTTCGGTATGTGGTTAAAGTTTTTTTAGACATCAATAACTTTGTCCAGCCTTCGTGGAATTTTATGAAATTTGGACAGAAGTTAGTTTATTACCAAAAGACATTTCAGTATATTTGAAAATATTTATTTTCATTTTTAACCGGATTTTCGAAGGAAATATCGGTTATTGATTTGGGGATGTACAGCAGCATCAAATTTTGATATGTTGTTTCCTGTGACTAAATGAAGGCCAAGTTCAATTTTCACGATTTTAGCTTCTCTCGTTTTTGAGTTTTCAACTTTTTAGAAGTCCAAATATATACTATTATATGATTGACTTATTTCCCTTTGAACAGAAATTGTGATTTGCAATATCATTTTCATTAGATAATAATCTATTTTTATTAAAATATATATTTCATTACATTACATTGTGTAGATAAAATTGATGACATTGTTAGATAAGTTGCAGATCTATATTAGTTTGTGATAAATCAAAGAAAAAATATTAGGAACTATTAATTATATATATAAAGTTTGATTACACTAAGTGTTTTTAAATAATTTTCACCTGTTAATAGATAACAAAACATCTGGTAAATATCTTATCACACAATTATAATTAGAGTGACAGATTTATTTGAAAATTTTCTGTTTCCTAAGTGTTGATGATAAGATCTGTAGGACAGTATAAATAAAGTTTGAAATTTACTGTTCATTATTAGACATTTTGAAAATAATTACAGATAAGTTTTATAGATTTTTAACCGGATTTTCGAAGGAAATATCGGTTATTGATTTTGGGATGTACAGCGGGCAGTCGGGCGGACACCAAACAGTGTCTCCACAATAACATGAAAACGCTTTAACAAATTTTCTTCAAATTTAAATATGTTGTTTCCTGGGACTTAATGAAGGTCTAGTTCAATTTTCAAGATTTTAGTATATCTCCTTTTTGAGTTATCGCCATTTTTAATATCCAAAATTGGTATTTTTAAATATTTTTCTCTCTTGTTATCATATTAGGACTAAGCAAAATGTCTTATCTCACAATAAAAATTGGAGTGACAGATTTATTTGAAAATTTTCTGTTTCCTGATAAGATCTGTAGAACTGTATATATAAAGTTTGAAATTTACTAGTAGGACTGTATAAATGAAGTTTGAAATTTACTGTTCATTATTAGACATTTTGTAGATAATTAAGTCTCCCTAAACCATATATATTCTTATCCCCACCCCTCTTCAATTTGAGAATGTGCTTTTATCTTGTAAACGGTCGAGATCCCCACCCCTAAACCATATATATTCTTGTATGGGACAATAAAACAAATCAAAAGAAATATTGGGGGAGTCCCCGGCTTCACCCCCATCCCCCTTCTTTTTGAAAACTTGTAAACGGTCAAGATCCCCACCCCTAAACCATATATATTCTTGTATGGGACAATAAAACTAATCAAATGAAATAAAAGGCGAGTCCTCTAGGGTCACCCCCACCCCCTCCTGTTTGAGAACTTGTAAACGGTCGAGATCCCCAACCCTCAACCATATATATTCTTGTATGGGACAACCCTAAACCATATATATTCTTGTATGGGACAATAACACAAATCAAATGAAATATAGGGGAAGTCCAGGGGGGTCACCCCCGCCCCCCTTTTTGAAAACTTGTAAACGGTCGAGATCCCCACCCCTAAAGCATATATATTCTTGTATGGGACAATTAAACAAATCAAATGAAATATAGGGGAAGTCCATGGGGGTAACCCCCACCCCCGTTCTTTTTGATAACTTGTAAATGGTCGAGATCCCAACCCCTAAACAATATATATTCTTAAATGGGACAATAAAACAAATCAAAAGAAATATTGGGAGAGTCACAAGGTTCACCCCCACCCCCTTCTTTTTGAAAACTTGTACAGGGTCAAGATCCCCACCCTAAAACCATATATATTCTTGTATGGGACAATAAAACTGATCAAATGAAGTAAAATGCGAGTCCCCTTGGGTCACCCCCACCCTCTCCTGTTTGAGAACTTGTAAACGGTCGAGATCCCCAACCCTAAACCATATATATTCTTGTATGGGACAATAACACAAATCAAATGAAATATAGGGGAAGTCCAGGGGGTCACCCCACCCCTCTTTTTGAAAACTTGTAAACGCTAAATATCCCCACCCCGAAAATATATATATTCTTGTATTGGACAATAAAACAAATCTAATGAAATAAAAGGCAAGTCCCCTGGGGTCACCCCCACCCCCTCCTGTTTGAGAATTTGTAAACGGTCGAGATCCCCACCCATAAAGCATATATATTCTTGTATGGGACAATTAAACAAATTAAATGAAATATAGGGGAAGTCCATGGGGGTAACCCCCATCCCCCTTCTTTTTGATAACTTGTAAACGGTCTAGATCCCCACCCCTAAACCAAATATATTCTTGAATGGGACAATAAAACAAATCAAATGAAATTGAGGGGAAGTCCCCTGGGGTAACCCCCACCCCCTTCTTTTTGAAAACTTGTAAACGGTCAACATCCCCAGCCCGAAACCATATATATTCTTGTATGGTACAATAAAACAAATCAAATGAAATATAAGGCGAGTCCCCTGGGGTCACCCCAACCCCCTCCTGTTAAAGAACTTGTTAACGGTCGAGATCCCCACCCCTAAACCATATATATTCTTGTATAGGATAATAAAACAAATCAAATGAAATATAGTGGAAGTCCATGGGGGTAACCCCAACCCCCCACCACCCCACCCCCTTCTTTTTGATAACTTGTAAACGGTCGAGATCCCCCTTCCCTAAACCAATAAATTTTGGATTTTTTTCTTCTTTTCTTTGGTGGGGGGGGGCCTCGGTGGCCGAGTGGTCTAAGTAGTTACTACTGTAATCACTAGCCAGTCAACACTGCGGTTGTGAGTTCGAACCTCGCTCATGCGGATGCACTCAACTCCAATCTTAATTGACTAGGATTGTCAGTTTTCCTATCGAAGGTCAGTGGTTTTCTCTGGGCACTCTCCGGCTTCCTCCACCAATTAAAACTGGCCGCCACGAAATAGCCCAAAATCGGTGCTTAAAAGTGGCATTAAAACCCCAAAATCGGTGCTTAAAAGTGGCATTAAAACCCCAAAAAACAAAATCAAAATCTTTTCTTTGGTACATTGTTTGAAGAATTTCGTGACAAGTTTGTTTGTTATTCTGTAAAAACTAATTTTCTGAATGCTATATATATTTTTTTTATGAAGTGAACTCCTTTAAAAACTAAGCTTATATTGTCTATTAATAAACATATATTAAGATTTCAAAATCGGTGCTTAAAAGTGGCATTAAAACCCCAAAAAACAAAATCAAAATCTTTTCTTTGGTATATTGTTTGAAGAATTTCGTGACAAGTTTGTTTGTTATTCTGTAAAAAACTAATTTTCTGAATGCTATATATATTTTTTTTATGAAGTGAACTCCTTTAAAAACTAAGCTTATATTGTCTATTAATAAACATATATTAAGATTTCTGATATTGGGCCCAGTTTTCAAGTTGGTCCAAATCAGGGTCCAAAATTGAACTGTGTTTGATTTCAACACAAATTGAATATATATAGGGTCCTTTGAAATGCTTAATCTAAACCTGTATTTCTTTTCATTATTAATAAGATAATACCACATTAAGGTCCAAAGGGTTCTAAATTAAACTTTTGTTTAATTTCATCAAAAATGAATTCATTGGTTCTTTGTTATGCTGATTCTAACAATGTTTGAGTGTTAAATCGTATCTAATTTTCGAGAACTGAGTCATCACTGGTTGTTGTTATTATATTATTTATTATAATTTGAAAAATTGCATCATATCTTATTTTAGAGAACTATTTATCTAGTTTGAGTTATTTCCCTTTGCACAGAAAATATTATGGATAAAATTAATCTGTGTTTCATTTCAACATAAATTAAATATATAAAGGGTTCTTTCAAATGCTGAATCTAAACCTGTATTTAAATATTAGAATTTTGGATCAGTTTTCAAGTTGGTCCAAATCAGGGTCCAAAATTAAACTTTGTGTGATTTAACAAAAAAATTAATTTATGGGGTTCTTTGGTATGCTGATTCTAATATGTACTTAGATTTTGGATATTGGACCATAATAGGTATTCAAAAATCCAATTTCAAATATTTCAGTTCTTTGACCACAATCATTTTGTGTCACAAACCTATGCTGTGTCAAATATTCAATCACAATCCAAATTCAGAGCTGTTTTAAGCTTAAATGTAGTGTCCATACTTGCTCAACTGTTCAGGGTTTGACTTCCGCAGGAAAATCCGCTTTGCTGCCACTCTGACAGCCTCTTATTAATAGATATTGTATTAATGATAAATGACATTTTGGATTTTTTTTTTCATCTTTTCTTTTGTAAATTGTTTTGAAGAATTTTGTGGTTGGTTTGTTTGTTATTCTGTATAAACTTATTTTCTGAATGTATATATATATTTTTTTTTTATGAAGCAAACTCCTTTAAAAACTAAGCTTATATAAAACAAGATGTGGTATGATGGTATGATTGCCAATGAAACAACTCTCCACAAGAGACCAAATGACACAGAAATTAACAACTATAGGTCACCGTACGGCCTTCAACAATGAGTAAAGCCCATTAGTTTGTCTATTAATAAACATATATTTAGATTTCTGATTTTGGGCCCAGTTTTCAAGTTGGTCCAAATTGGGGTCCAAAATTATACTGTGTTTGATTTCATCATAA